AATTGTCAGGAGCTAACATTTGGGTGATGGTGATCACCTGTCACCTGGGACTAAAGCAGCCACTTGCGGAGGGATATGTACATACACCATTATGGTGGACCCGTTCCGTGTACGGCAACCATATAAATGAATGATGAAATAAGCAAAACAATGGAACTATACAATGTAATTGCTCCAATGTGCCCAAAAATCACAGTGAATGCAGGAACGAGCATGCACTCGATGTGTTTTGCGGATGAATTTGCGTGGGGAATAGGCTGCAGGTGTTAGCCTTATTATTCGCACAAGAATGGACGGATGAATTCCATTGAAGGACAGCTGAAAAGACAGAGAAAGAGAGAGTAAATGTCCGGTCACAAACCATGTCCCACGTGTGATAAGGGGTGCCAGAGCATAGTATCAGCAACGCACTTTGAACAGCTATCAGTCCCACTGAACTGTATATCACGTAGAAACAGAAACAGATGGGAAAATGTTTGCTTTCCATTATTCCAGAAACATGTGTTCACCATTGTGACTGAGAGGTGTAAACGTTCAGTAGACACCCCGGTAAAATGTTTGCAGCGTAAAATACAACAGGCAGCTATGGACGGCAGTGATCAAGCATTGTAGATCACAACCACACCACAGTCGATCAACTTTTCCAACTTGTTTTTATCTCGTGGGAGCCTTTTGACTGACCGCTTTCACAATCCTGAAAATGCATTGTACAGGTACTTACTCAGTGAAAAAGCGGTAAAAGATTGTGCTGTTTAGCAATACAAGTTTTCTTGTAGTTTAAAAGCCTAACGCCATAACGAAACAGCTTGGCGACAGCGACGCAAGGTGCAAAAAATCACTGATTGACTCTCATACCTGTAGTATATTTTACAAAATCACAATTCTCACCCGAAGCATAGCTGCCAGATTGTGTGACACGCTTAGGCAGATACATATTTTCTAAGTGCACACAATATGCACCGTAATAATTTGAGAAACGTTGGCGTTCGAGTTGCATAATCGGTTTCTGAACGTTCAAGTCCAATTGTATCTAGATGGGTGCGAGAGGGCGCAGGCACGCATCGGCACTGATGGATGGTTGAAAGTCCGAAGGACTATGAAGCACCATCCCAACATTGAATTACAGGCCATTAGGTCCTGGCCTTCAACATAACACAGATTACCTTGATCTGGTCGCCCGTGGTCCGGTTGCAACCGTTCTGATACATCATTTCGTCACTTTTATCAGCCACGACACTATATGGCGTATTGTTAACGAGCAGTCAGCTGCTTAGAACCAGTCGCTAAGGCGTGTGACCGGATTTGAATTTCGGTAGTTACGATGGAGATTCAATTTCGATGTTTTCTAGGAATGAATCACTGGTACAGTACAAAATAACAGCACTTTAACGATTCCAATGATGAAATGAGGCGCTGATCAATAAGGGCCTAAATAGAATCAAGTCAGCTTTTCGGATTGGCAAGCGGGATGTTGAAAACCACTATTACCTGATTTGAAATTTGGTCAAAAATTATTTTAAAAAAGCTAAAAGCACATAAAATACCAATTTCAATCGGCTGCAACAACTTAAATTACAGTTACTCTATTGTCATTACCTAAGAGAGGTATACGAATCACACTGCTGGAAAAACTCCCCGAATTTAATGGAATAATGACGAATAAACGATAAACACAGTCCAGTGGCTGTGCGGCAACATGAGGAACGGCAGGAGATTGCCTGTTTTGCAACCAGTATCCTACTCTTTCCCCAACAGTCCTATACGGTGAGAGTGAAGTGATGTAAATATTTTTTTGGAAAATAATAATCAATGTTTCTACTACTGTCATCGTTCACCAGCACAGAGTTACGCCCATCTTTCTGGAAACTGACGTGGTCAACTGTCGCGGGTATTATAGATTTAACATCCCTTTTTCACATGTGAACAGGTTAGCATTTTTATGGTTCGAAGCTCACTGAAGAGCGTTTGACAGTAAGACTTGAGTGCGGGGGGACTGAATGGTTGCTGTCGAACAGTTTTCACTGAAACCGGGGACAATTTCAGTTTGTACAACCATTAACCATGCATTTTAGCGCGCCGGGTTTGGGTTGCTGTCCTTTGGCAACTCATTTGGATGAAGCAGCAGGAGAAAGACAGCAAGGTTGAAAGTAGAGTCGAAGAGAAAACTGAGAACCCAATAGATGGATGCACGAACACCACTATTTACAACACCCAGCCATATCACTCAGTGTCTCTAACCACCGGTTACGATCATCCCGAGGTCCTCAGTCATGGAGCCTAACGGGACCTATGTGATCGAATCTCCTGGTTGGGTTCTTCATACCCTCACGCAGGTCTTAGCTTAACCACTCTTGGCTTTTTTCCACCCACTACCTGCCTTGGCGAACATCGCTCGCCAAGGCAATCTATCTGGTGACATGCGTAACACGTGCTCCAACCGTAATCTATGAAGGTCGACCACTCGCTCCAGTGAGCCCGCGGTAAAGCCCAGAACAACTTAGTAGATGCATACACACGTACAGAAGCACCGAGGAGTGAACAGAGCACAAAAGCCGAACGGAGGCACAAATAAACCGTGAAAAGATACAATCCCCACTTCCCAATCGTCTAATCAGCACTGATATTTCACGAATTTCAGGTACGGGTCAGTGAAGAAGCAATGGAAGAGTGACACAAATGCGAAGAAAAAACTCGAGAAGGACAATTTAATCAAGTTTTAGGTCAATAATCAAGGTGCTAATTGACTATCGCTAGTTAGGAAATGACCCCCACCTTCTCAGTGTTGGTCAAACGGCGAGCTGGGGTGAGAACAATGCTGAATAACTGAGGACCGCCTGTATAAGTGAACTTATTGACGGGGACCATCACCACACTACAACCACTGAAGCTGCCAGCCGCAACACTGGTGCTCAGGCATTTTCGAACAGATCACCCCGGTGGAAATGAAGCTGATTAATCAGTCATTTTCAGTGCTGCGTTAAGATTATTCTATTCGTAGTATGTTAGTCTTGTGCCTTTGATCAGTTTCAGTGGCTAGTTCTATCTAACCGTACTGTTATTTTCCCACGTGGCATTTTCCACTAACCCCCGTTTCCTCCATTGTTTGTATTTTGTATTTTCAGGAAGAAATGCTTGAAATTTAAAAGAAATAAAATAAGCTGGATTTGAACAGATGATGAATTATTTAGGGGTAATAAATTTTAACGGTACTCACCGTCTCTTGCCAGCACATGACTGATGATGGTGGTGGTGGAGAGGATGAAAGTTCTCAATGCGGTTATCTTGCATCAACAATACTTTACTCCGCAACATCAAACCATTCATCATCATCAGCAGCATCACTCTCTTCTGAAACGTCCATCCCAGAATCCAGTGGAGTGGATCCCAAGCTTTGGACATCATCTACCGTATCCATAGTAACCGTAGATTCGGCAACAGAATGTTGGCGCTTTCGTTTGGCCTTGGTGGGGCCCCCTCGAGTACTGCTCATTCCAGTCTCTGTCAGATCACCTGCATCCGCAGATTGGGCGGCACGGATGACCAGAATCACGTCGGGCACATGATCGTCTTTCAATTTCTCGAATTCCTGATGATTTATATTACAATTGCGCAGATCCAAACTGTCAAAGCAAATGATGTGTGAGTGTAAACGTGTGTGAATGTGTATGGAGACATTCGATGAAGTAGAAAGTATGCATTGCCTGTGTTCATTCCCGAATTCAGTCAGTTTATTGACGAGATAGCGAGGACCCAAGGAATAAATGAGAAGATAGTAAGAAAAGGTGACGGCTATGCGTCTCATAAAGAAACCCTTTCTTTGGGTATTTTTTACCGTGCATGTAGGGGAGGCTGCTAACATCATCGGTCATCATTTCAAATACCCGGGTCAAACGACAGCTAATGACCAAATTTTTCGTGGGTCAGAGGGCACTCTGACGTTCTCTCAATGAATATTTCAATTGAAGTGAAAGAATAAAAGAATGAGTAAGAAGTCAAGCCCAGTATAAGAACCGTGGCTCTTTATTCTATGAGTATTTTGGGATGTTGAGGGACCTCAACCCAAGCCAATAACAGAATAGCTTAACCCAGAAGCAGTGAACCAATGATTTACGCCCGTGATCCTTTGAAAGTCGATATCACCATGGTCAGGCCATACGTCCTTCGCGTGGGACTCTCACGTTCAAAATACCCAACACACCTTGATCGTCTATTCATCCGGTGACTGTACATCCATAAATCTTGAGGGAGGGGGAAGCTTAAACACCTTATCATGCGTGGGTTGGCATTAGGGTTATATAATGTACGGTGGTTATTCAGCGGTGACAGTGATCAAACTATCTGAGTCATCTATACAACACTCCGGATTTTGGTGGTAGCGCCCAACTGTCCTACTTCGTTCTATATCTATGCAGCTTTGTAATTGGCTGAAAATTCATTGTACAATGGAGCATTTGATAAATGAAAGTAAAACGGTTTAAAATAAATTTGTCATAGTCCCGGATATTAAATAGATGACCTCACTCTTCACAGAAAACAACACCGCCGAAGACAAGTAAGCCCCATAAAGCGTTTCTTGACAAGAACAAAGACTGAGAACACAGATCATTATGAAGCATTAAGAGAAGAGCTGGGCCACCAACATTTTCAGCAAGGAAAAAGAATGAAATTTCAAGTGGATCATTATTACTATTAGTACACACATTGGTCGGATATGGAACCCAAACTGAACTGTTCGCAAACAAAGGTATAAACGGTCAGCATATCAGAGATCGGATCCGAAAAGGAACATGAGGGTCATCTGCAATGAGAAATAACCTAAACAAAATTTAGTCGCGAAAGCCTTTGCTCACAGATGAAGCTATATAAGAACCGGACCAGAAACAAGACTGTAATCATCGGTTGTAAGGGCAAAAAAACTATCCATTTACTTGTACTTTTTGAAAAACATGCGGTTCAGGTTTGATGATGACCGCGATGGGTTTATGGTCAAATAGTCAAAATTATATTGCAACTACTGACATATTGGTGAGTGGTGTATTTGTAGCAGAAATTACGACAGTGGGACTGGAAAAGCAAACTGACCCGTGGACAGTATCACCAACATGGATGATGTGCCCCAGATGAGTACGCGCATGAATCATACCACATTGATTATCGTCTTCGTCCAATTTCTGATTAAGTCGCATAAGCCATACGGAGGCCGGACGATGACGTCGAGATAGCCGGGCTCCGACGGGAGCTTTTCTCGAATTCGTTTCCTCTCGGTCGTCCTCTTCGATCTCAACGACCATAAATGGGGCGAACTGTTTTTGACTGGCCACAGCAGTAAATGGTGAGGCAAAGTATGACGTGCTATCCACTCGGCTGACTGTGAAAAAGCACATTAAAAACGTAAGAAAGAAATCAACACACACACTCAAATGGATGGCAGTTAGTATATTAACACTGTGCACATGTATCGCACACACTACTAATCTAACAAACGTTTATCCTCCAACTGAAGTGCGAATAGGATTTGGAGCGGCATCCAAAGTAGGAAGTGGGATAACGGCACTCTGGTATTTTTTTGTTCCCAGCAGGGTTTCTAGATATCACACATACAAATGCAGCCTGAAAAAGAGCATGGCTATCACACATGAGCCAGCAGTTCATTCGTCTCTCCCGGAAACGAGCATTGCCAGACCACGATAGGAGCATTGGCCTTAGACAGTGGTGAGTTGCGATCACCCCGTTGCACTGCGCTCTACAAACTTCTAGTGGAGCGTTAGTCAAGCAAAAATCAACCACGCTCTCGGACATGGCCAGTGACGGTTCGTAACTGCTTATTTAGTTAACCCGGACTCACCTTATTCCTACCAGATTGGTGTCTGACCCCTTATCCTCTGTCAGAGACCTCTGCCTTGAAGAGTCTTAATGAGCCAGCTGCAACGTGAATTACGGTTCCGAATTTGATGCCAAAAAGACAATGACAGAAATCAACCGGATTTGTCCTTCACAGCTCATTATTCACGGTATAGGACCAGAAATAGTTTACTGGCGTACTTCACCAAGAAGTTGGCGGAGTTTTACCAATGTAGACTAGAGAATGACAAATGGCGATTTCATAGCCGGTACCTTAAGAACTACCCTATTACCCTACAGAGATCCTGCTGGCGACGGGAGAACATCGGAAAATGTTAGGGGAAATGAAGTGCAAATGGAGGAAACCGTTGAGGAAAACGAAACGTGTTTCGTGGTTTCATTGCACATATTTCAAAGTTTTTGGCTAATGCATATGCCATACCGATGTATGTGCATATCAGCATGTCAGTAAAGCACATTAACTACAACAAATATAACAGATCGATACTACTCTGTGCTGACTAGATAACATCGGTTTTAGTTGACAAAATCTTACAAGTATTTACCTTCGGCCAGTGAATTCTGAGTTTTATTAGTCACATCTGGCGAAAGCATAAAACCAATTCAAAAACAACCAAGCAGGTTAAAAAACATCACACAGATGTAATCGCGAACGCGCTTCATTCAGATATTACCCAATGATGTAAACAAGAAGAAAGATCCACTCTCTCTCT